ACGATGACATATAGCAATATTTCATTAGTAAAAGAGATTGATATGGTGTTTTTAAATGGCAATATATCAGCATATGAAGATATTGTGATATTTGAGTGTATCAATCTTTTTCCCCTCGTCTTTAGAAGTTTTTAAGTCTGTAAAAAAGAAGTTTTTGAGGAAGAAGTAGTATTTTTTTATTTTTTTGTTAGACTTTAGAAACTCAGAAGCTGATCAAATATTGGGGTTAAATATCTGTGGGGTGGCCGATGTCCGATATTCAGTTTTAAGGCCGATGCAGGCCGATACCGATAGGGGGCCGATTATATCGTGCATCCCTAATAATGGCATTTTTTAGAGTCTCTATACTCAGTTGACAATCAATTACTAAATTAGTTGATTTATTGCAATAATCGATAATCACAATTAATCTGATTAAATGTTTCAGCCCATGTTCCTTCATTAGTGGGAGTGGTGACCTAGTGGTTAGGGAATCCAGATTTTCTGAGTTCAACCCCACTCCCATTGACTCCCACTCTGGGTCCCCCGAGCAAAGACCATTAACCCTACACTGCTCCCTGGGCACCGCACAATGGCAGCCCCCTCCTTCCCAAAGAGATGGGTTAAATGCAGAGACTTAATTTGGTTGCTCTGTACTTATGACAGTGTAATGACAATAAAGAAGGAAAAAAAGCTGTAGTTAATGGAAATAAGTTTATTTGTACAAAAGCCCCTGTTGCTGAAACAAAAATCAGTTTAGCAGGTATTTTCTAAGAATTCCTTTACAAGACGACTCGATCATCTTTGGATTTCAAAATTCATGTTTTTATTTTATTTTCTAAACCTTGACACAGGATGTATAGATCTAATATACAATGCTCAAAAAATAAAGGGAACACATAAACAGCAAAATATAACTTAAATCAAATCAAACTTATGTGAAATCAAACTAAAGCATCACTGATTGACTGATGAATTTCACATGCTGCAAATGGAATAGACAACAGGTGGAAATTATTGACAATTAGTAAGATGCACTCATTAAAGGAGTGGTTTTGCAGGTGGGGAACTTCTCAGCACCTGTGCTTTCTGGCTGATGTTTTTGTTACTTTTAAATGTTGGTGATGCTTTCACACTCATGGTAGCATAAGACAGACTCTACAACCCACACAATTGGCTCAGGTAGTGGAGTTCATCCAGGATGAACTGTTAAATGTATTAACGTCCTGGTTTACTGGCCTGTGTGCCGAAAGCACCTCCAGCCTCTGGGCACTATGCTGACAGACACAGGCCAGAACACCGGGAATTAGATACATTTAATTACCATTGAGGATTTCTGTCATCAGCATATTCTACTTTGTACAGAACAAAGTATTCAATGATAATATTTAACTCATTCAGATGTTGGATGTATTTCAATGGGGTTTTTTTTTTAGCAGTTTAACTCAAAGTCTAGTGTATCTCTTTCCTCATAAACTTCAACTTTCATCCTATGAATTGATATGAATATTTGGTATATTTTGTTATTCAGAACATTTTGTATTTAGTTACAGAGGGATATAACTTTCTTTAGAGATTGTATACTGCTTATTTTTCTAGTTAAAGTTTTCAACATAACTGGTTTAATTTCTGTTACCTTTCCCTGTTAAATTTCATGTGGTTTAGTCTTTGCCTTGCTGCCATATTTCGCATGTTTGTCTATCTGGTCATGTCTCATGGTAACTCTTTCTTTATTTCCTGTAGATCTACAGCTCTCCCAGCTGCCTGACTCGCCTGACGATCCAATAAAAATATCCTGTTAGAATAAGTAAATATTAAAAATAAACTCTATGTGGGGGATTGAGTTGAGTCACTGTTGGTTTTGAGGATCCACTTTTGCCTTTGTTTTTTGTTAAATTATCTTCATTTCTGATGTCTTGCTTCAATGCCCTTAAATAAAATCCCCTCTAATGGTATCCTTTTTTTTTTTTTTGTGTGTGTGCAAAAGTCTGCACCAACACAACCACAGAGGCTGCTACCAAAGGATTGCAGGCTTCCACCTGTATTTATTATGATCAAAAGGTTATTTGGTTTCATCAGACTGAGCATGTCTGATGAAAGAGGCTCTGCTCCTCCAGGTCGCAGTCAGAGGTTCGACTACCGGGCCGGTAAATTTTGCTGCATGTCTTCCCCCCTCTCTGATCCTATTTCCTGTCAACCTATTTTATAAAATGACACAAATGAAGACCATTAGAGCCTAAAAATAATTTAAAAAATAAGGCATTTGACCCCTATTGGTATTTGTGAGCATAAGAGGTTTCATGGAATCTTGTTCCATTATTTTTGACAAAGAAAATTTTTTTATGAAATCCAGAAAGGAAACTTTTGATAAATGTAATCACAAAAGGTGTAACTTTGCTGGTGTCTTAGATTTTTTTTTTTCCATTTTGTTTTCAAACTTTTTCAATCAATGGTGGAAACTCAATTCAGATTGAGTTTTATGAATTTCTTTTCAAACTGTTTTTTTTCCAGATAATTTAACTTCAAGCCAAACACAAATGTTGCTGAAGTCCCTGCATACCAATGGAAATGCATGCAAGCCCACTCCACAAAGTGAAGAGAATGAGATCTCTAAAACACAGTTTCAAAAGAATGCAAATTATAAATCCTCAATTTGAAAAATCATTTTTGAAGAAATTATGTATATTTTTTTTAATAAACGTGGAAAAGAAATTGGGGGGGAAAAAAGGGCACCATAGTTAATTTAAAAACCTTATTTTTGAAAGGTTTTCAACGTTTCATTTTTGGATTGCATTTTTTTTATTTCTATTTATTAAACATGTTTTTTTCCAAATTTAGTTTTACAAAATAAATGTTGGGCCGAATTTCACTCCATAGTGTTTTTCCCTCATTGAAAGGCCTTTGAGCCTGTGACAGATTGCTTTCATTCTTTTATTAGCATCTTTAGGGACTCTTCTAGATGTTCTGGGGTTGATATATCACTAATTGAAAACAAATCTCATCAGTCTCAGACACAGAACCCATCTATTTCCTGAACAGTTGTGTCTTAAGATTTCCATGTAGTTAATACTTGCATATGACCTGTTTAAGTGGATGCGACACCTTCAGGCATCCGGTAACCAAAGAATCAACCAGAATTGTGATGGTCCACAGTATATTTAATATGTCTAAGATATCACAGAAGAAATGTTTGAGGTGCTGCCTTAAAGTAAATCCTAATGTTGCACAAGTTGTACACATCTGTATCTGCCTTGGCCAGTTTATCCTTTTTCTTTCCCCTTAAATTATTAAAGCTGTAAATTGTGTTGTGAATTTGCAATGATTCTCAGTTTAGAAAATCTTACAGAAAATGAAATGCATAGGAGTGCCCCCATTTAACTCGATGAGGAAAAAGTTGTTTATGCAGTGTAAAAAGGGATTATTTTGACTTGATTCAAATATCCAACAACTGGATATTTTTATTTAATCAAACTGCAAAGTAAAAAAAAAAGCACAAGACAGATTATCAATTTAAAATATCTGTGAATGTGAAAATAGTACCTGTGGAGGCAGTGCTGCTTCTAAAAGGTCAGAATCCATTCAGCTAGTTTGAGCAAGAAGTCCATTAACAGTCCAGGCTACCACCGTGCTGATGATCCAGGCGGTAATATCAGACATATTGATTTTTTTTTTAGTTTGTTTTAAACAGTCACCCGACTGATTTAAGATAAAATGATCAACAGTACCTCGCAAAGTCATTCATCTCCCCAGGTTACATAACTCCCTGCAAACACGTGGCAGCATTCGTTTGGGTTTTAAGTTCATAGAGTGGTGCAAATTAAAAAGATAAGGGTTTATTTTTTAAATGGATACAAAAAAAAAAAACCCTGGAAAGATTGGTTTAATTTGCATCTGCTCCTAATATTACTGCATAACATCCACCGTCCAACGAGAAGAAAAGCCTAAAGAACTGCACAGTGGCATCTAATTGAGAATATGTGCTAAGCGAAAGTTGGTTCTATAAATCAGAGGGGCTGATTTAGCTCAGAAGAATCTATTCCTTCAATTCATGATTACAATCTTGCATAAATCCAATACATGTTTAAAAATTCAGGAGATATGAATTCTTTGCAAGGTACTGTAGTCTATCAGTAATAACCCTCATTAAGAATGATTTTTGCACTTCTTAGAAGTGACAAATGTAAATACTTCAGATTTGTATATTTATATATATATATTTTTAAATATGTACACAAGTACATGTTCTCTTTTCACGCAACACAGCGAGTCTGATTAGTATAGGTCCTTCAGTTCAAATCAGCATTTGGTTTCAAAAAGATAATTCCCACACCCATTAAAGGCTTCCCATAATTCAATATATACTGTATAGATATCAAAATTTCAAGTGTTAGTCAGAATAATTAAGCCCAATGTCTTAAAATAGCACTATCAAAATCCTATAATGCACTTGAGGAAGGCATTGCGTATTTATTTTGTAATTCACAATCCTTTTAAAATGACACAGTCTGGGTGAAGAAGGGGAACTGAGCCGAGGTCCGAACTGGAGACCCTGATTAGAAAGTTGGATGGGAGAGCGGAAACATGGAAAGAAAAACGCACACCAGACCCTGCAGGTCACGTTTTGGAGTTAAATGAGATTTTATGAGCCTGATGAAGAAACAAGACGGCTTCATTAATGAATGCCAGGACTGTTGTGATGGCAACAATCCTGGCTTTTAAAAATGATGTGAATGATGCGTTAATGGCAATGATCATTGGCTAAACCAAGACACAGCTTTATGCCAGTGAGTTAGTATCATTCTACACACCCTGATGCTGAAGACGAGGTCATTTTAAGATCAATTTGTGTTCTGAGAATAGATATTAATAGCATCTGATAATTATCACAGATTAAGTTTGCATAGACCTAACCCTAACCCTCACCATCTGAAAAAAAATAAATTGAATGAATTGGAGCAGCATACCCAACTTCACTCTTTGTACCTACACTTGTGGCACCTTTAAATTTTCAATTTGGAACTTGTGAATCTTTATAAAACACAGAAAACTTATTAAAAAAATAACTCAATTGCTTATAGAGCATTAAGATCCAAACAAGGCTTTCAATTTACAGACTTTATTATACCCGTTAAAAAGTATACAAAGAGTGAAAGAGGGTATGTTCCAGAAATGTACTAAAACATTTGTCTGAAAGGAGACGCGTCCACATGTAAACATATGAGCTGTGGTGTGGTTCTGCACTTCTCTCTGACAGATGGAATAAAAAAATAAAAGCCTAAAATATCATAGAAGCGTGGAGTCCCTGGGGGGAGTGAGGAGGGAAGTGGAGCTTTCTCCGCTTGGTCACGGGTTTCCTTTAGCTGGCGATTTTCTCAATTTCATCCAGATCGTCAGTGTCTAGTCTTTCGATTTTCTTATCTTTAGAAGGGAAAAAAAAAAAGAGCAGAGATTAGAGCAAGAAGTACACATGGATGAACAAGCAGAGGAGGAGAGGAGACTTACTGAAATGCTCCTGGATTCTGCTCAGGATGTTCATGCTCATCTTGCTGTCCACCATGTTGATGGCCAGACCTCTCTTCCCAAATCGGCCCGTGCGTCCGATCCTGTGGAGGTACGTCTCGTTGTCGGGGTTACCATCTTTGTCGACTGGCAAGTCAAAATTGATCACCACAGACACCTGCTCCACGTCAATGCCTGCATGAAAAAAAGAGGCAAAAGTTACATAATGAAAAAAAAAAATGAATAGTATAACCTGAACACCAAACTGTGCAGTGGCCTTCATCTCATCTAAGTATAAATTGAATCTCTCCAGATCAAACCTACAGCTTGCTTTTCCCACTCCATCCTCACCTCTAGCGCAGACATTTGTGGTCACAAGGACTTTCTCCTTTCCGTCCCGGAAGCGTTCAATTACAGCGGCTCTCTGCTCCACCTGCATTTCTCCACTGAGCAGCGCCACCTGATGGCCTTCTCTAGACAGCTCTCCTGCAAGCCAACCTGCAGTTTTCCTTGTCTGGATTGCACAGGGGGAAAAAACAGAGTGCAGTAGGAATTAGGCAAAGAAAAAGCTTGATTTTGGAAATAGCGATGCAAGTTTTCCACAGCATAAATAAAATCAATCTTATCATTTAGCAACAGAAATGTCAAATAAAATTACAGAATCGCATAAATCGATGACCCAAATGCGGTGACTGTAAGAAAATAAACTCACATGGCAGAAGATCATAGCCTGAGCGATGGTAATTGCTCCGTAGATGTTGCAGAGGGCGTGGAACTTCTCTTCCTTGCTGTTGCAGAGCACATAGTACTGCTTGATGGTGTCCAGCGTCTCCTCTTCTCTCTTCAGCTTGATGATGTTGGGGTCCGGCACGATGCGCTGAGCGAAGGACCAAACGCTCTCTTCAAACGTGGCTGAGAACAGCAACATCTGGCAGTTTTTGGGCAGCATCCTGCAGAAAGAGGTAAGGGAAGAAGCCTTAACGGTATAAACAGTGCTGCTGTTTGTTGATTGCTTTGTTCTCTGGACAATGTTTAAGTGCATTCTTTTAAAATCCACTACGTGTCACATTAGAGCAGGTTTCTGCAACCTGCATCTCTGGAGCAACCACTGCTTCTTTAGGCCTTCAAGGCTTTTAAAAATTAAGGAACATTCAATGAATCCAAACTAGAAGTTAGTGTATTTATTTAATGTGCACATAGAAAATCTATAACAAAAACATCTGTCTGCCACTTTGATATTTAAGTGACAGAATGAGTATTTCCCCTTCCTTTTCCACAACTATAAAAATGTCCTGGTTTTAAAGCACTGGCGATTGATTTAAAAACAATTTCACCCAGAAAACACCATTTACACTGCAGTTAATTCAACATTTTTTGAAGAGCCAGGTAGGTTTTACATATCTAAAGAAAAAACAAATCGACTGATATTTACTCCCAAATAAAACTGAGCTATCTTCAATTTAGTTTTTCTGTTAATCCAACACAGACTCAAACAAGCAAAATAAATGATTTCCTAAATGTATTTTAGAAAAATATGCTACTAGATTCATCACTTTGTGGCTTCTGGATAACTTGTAAACTTATCCTGCCTCCAGCTTTCAACATAAACTAAACTGGGAAACAATCATCCCTATAAGTAACTGCAGCTTTATTGCTGCCAATAATGGTATTTTTTAATTGAATTTAGAGTTTAAAATAACTAATTGAATTAACCCTGATTATTATTAGATTAATAAACTAGTAGTCAACTTAAAGGGACACTATGCAACATTTTCCAGTTAATTAATGTGTTCCATAACGTTATGGATGATTAAATGATTCATTTCAGGTTGAACACAGGTATTCTCGGCCGCCCTGGTGGTCTGTGGGGGAAATACTGCACTTGCAACTGCAGGAGCACCAACCCGCACTCACAGGCTCAGAAGTCTCGTGAGAGT